CCATATTCGAGGTTATGAGAACAGGTTCACATTTCGTCATCTTGTTGAATTTACCGTTTATCCTTGTCTATCTTATTGTCAGTCTGTATAATTCCATGGTTACCGGAGTTTTAAATAATTACGAAGCCACATGTATTTGCGCAATGTTAATTAGGCAGAATACCTTCAAAAACATTGCTGCCGTATTTCTGATATGGTTTTTTCCAAATTTCTCAGCTTTTAATAACCATTAATTTATTTTACTATTTTTTCTGTACTCCTATAACAGCGCCATACCACACCTCCAGAGGAATGACGCCAATTTTGAATCACCCTGCATATGTCACTATTTTAAGATCTGCTTAAGTTCATAGTAGATATTCCTAGTGTTACTCGAAAACTTTTTACGGAAGTTAGTTTTATTGCAGAAGCGTAGATAGTTTGTTTTTGGGTACTAGGTACTTTAATGTTGTTTCAAATTATAGCTGATCAACATCTTTGTAAATTTATTTTCAAAACATTTTTGTCTTTTTTTATAAAATACATAATTTTCTTACGCCTTTTATAACAGATTGAAAATTCTGATATCTTTATCAAAATATAACTACCTAAAAATAGAATATAAATAAATTGTTAAACAAGGCAAAATTTCCTTAATAAAATTAATGCACTTTAAGAAAAGTTTTTTTGTTGATGAAAGACGAGTGAAAGTGAAAGTTGATGAAGGTTGATGAAGAACGTTTTTTTGTTGATGATTTCTTTGCTGAAATTGTTGAAGCATGCTATTGAATTTTGTAGCAATTATCAAATGCATGTTGACAAATTAGTCAAAAAAAAGTGTGGTTTTTTAATATAGAAAGCTGTGCTTCTTATTAAGGGATTGAAAACATCAAAATATATTCGACTAAAGGATGTGCAGATAATTTTTACTACTAACTATTAGTCGTAAAGAAATATCTGTGAATTGAAATTTATTGAAATGTTCACGTTTTTTGAGACTGTGGGCTTAATGTATTGCCTTGGACGGAATAAACTCCCCAATATGCACATTCAATGCAGGTGTTGGAAACTACAATAAGGAAAATATCGATTAAATACAGTTAAAGATCACGAATATGTAAAAATATACAAAAATGAGTTGAAACTGTCGATTATTTCGGATCTGATTCTTCCAGTGTGTTTTTCGATGATTTAGTTGGATTCCTCGCTTCCTTGAGATGTAAACGATGTGATATTAGAAGGATTTTGAAATTTTTTTTTGTTAGTCGACTGAACCGTTAATCAATTTTTGGTAAAAATTAAAAACTTTTCTTGCGTGTTTTAAAGGCGCTATAGATTGCTTTTGACATCAGAAACATATTGGGGAGCCTCATTATGGACTTTTTCAGTGTTTGGGACTATAATTAGAAAAATATTGTCAATTAATGATGGCAAAAGGCAGGCCTAGTTTCCTAAATGCCGATTATTTCGATACTAAAGCTTCCAGTGTGTTTCTCCCGCGCTTGCTTGAGATGAAAATGATGTGGAATTCGAAGCATTTTGTTATATTTTTTTCATTTAAACAAATCTACTAAGGAATGCAAAATCGATCACATAATAATTCAACTCAGTCATGTGTAAGAGCGTGCTAGATTAGAATAAATAAAATAATAATAAATTTAAATTAAAAAATTGTGTACTTTTTGATTAACTTTATTATTGCTAGTTTAAAGTAGTTAATTTTTTGTTCGCATTTATTGCCAGATGCTAATGAATGTTGTACTGTTGATAATATTTTTTTTTGTCAACTTTGCTGTTTTAAATTTAATTTGGGTTTAATACTTAAAGTTTTTGAGCGCGCCTGTATCGAAGAAAAACGTGGGCAGTTGAAATAATAGTCAACTTTGATTTACAGAGAGAAACAGTTAAGAATAAAAAACATATTTTACGAAAATTGTTTTTTTGGCACCATTTGTACGTGTAAAAGGCTGCGTAAACATTAATTGGATAATATCTATAATCAAAGAAAAAAATCGAGATTTTTTTAAATAGGTACTTATCTAATATTGGAAGCAATCTGAAGTTTTCAAGGTTTCTATCATAATCAATTTAAACACGACTCGCCAAAAAAATAAATAAATAATATAAAAGCAATCGCACGTCATCTATTACGACACTKTTGCCCTAGTCATTAAATAAATAATTTTTCAACATGTTTGTTGTACAGTTTCAATCATCAATAAAATTGAACACAATTTTTTACAGCTGGTTTTTTAAATTATTTACACTGATTTTTACATATCGTTAAGAACGATAAACGCGAGTTTTGGAACTTTTTATTCGGCTAAACCTGCATGCGATTTTTTTGAAAATGTATCTAGTTCGATTGGAGATTATGCAACAAATAGGGCAGCAAAAGTGGCGGAACAAACTTGCAAGTTAAAACACTACTTAATTACTTAACAATGATTTTAATATTTTCAGATAATTTAGGTAATCTAATGAAACGATAAAAACAAATAAAAATGCAGTTTTATAAACTTAAATAAATTAAGTTGATATTTGTACAAAGAAAACTCCAATTTCTTGATTTGGTCAATTTGGTCCCTTTTTCACCAAATCCTTAAAGCTTTTGTGAAACTAGAATCAATTTGATTTTGAAACGTTCAAAAATAGAATTAATAAAAATGATGTCCATTTTTTAGCACATTGAAAAAGTTCCTCACGTTTTTTACATTTTTTGAAAACGAATTTTATTAAAGACTATGTAATGCAATATGTATAAAATCGAATTGATGCAATTTCGTCTTACTGAACCGGACTTTTTTTCGCTACTGCGTAATCACTCAGGAAAATCCGATTCTGGTTTAATGAGAAAGCGCCATTTGCAAAGCTCCAATATAAGCAGATTTGAAATAAAAGTGACATGATAAGGGCAAATGGAAAACTTAAAATGACTTAAAGCTGAATGTAATTACATAGTTAATGAGCAAAAAAAAAGAAACAGCACACTGACATTAAATTTTGATGCTGAAATAGCATTATTAAACCTTCAGATCCACTCTGAGATGTTGGTCTCACATGGTCATGGGATAATTCTCACAAACTACTATCTAAGCAAATTATTTTGGGTGAAAATGACCTTCCCGTGACAAATAAAAAGATATAGCTATTGCAGGATTTTTCTTTCAATACTCAAGTCAATTTAATTGAGTTTAATGTTGCACATTTTTTCCCTACAAATGTTTGTGTTAAACAAATAATTTCCCAGCTGCATTCTAACTTGGCAATGAGAATAATTCCATGGATCATCAAAACCTTGTGGCGCCAATCAAAAAACAAACACGGAACGGATGTAAGCTGGTAAAAGAACAACAAACTTTTAAAATGATAACTTAACTACAGTGTTGTTATCCGTTCATAAATTTATTTAATGTGTGAGAGAAATACATTTGAAGACAAACGACATAACTAAACCCATCGACAAAAAAAGTGGACCAATTGAAAGCCAGTTCAATTGGAAACTTGTGTTTGTTATTACACATTTTAATTGGTACGTCAACAGATTAAAGGAAATTTCGTGGTTTCATGTCTGTTTTGTTAACTTTGAGATAACTAAATGCTTGATCCATTATTTCAAGGGAATTTTAATGGGACTCCAATTTCTTGTCTTATCAGACTATGAAGGCTTTCACGGCCGGTCAGATTACATTTAGGAATGTTTTCCGGGCTTTGCAGCCGTGGTCTATCGGA